CGCAGTCGGTCGCTCCTACGCAGTCGGTCGCACTTACGCAGTCAACAAGCAGCGGAACCGTTTTCACACGTGCTGATGAGCGCCAGCTTGTGCCACCGGTCGTGAGGCCGCCCGGATCGGCAAGTGCAACAACACCGAGTCTACCAACTAGCGATCGTCTCGTATTTTCAGGGGGTAGCAGCGGCCGTCGTGGACTACCTCCAACTCCACAGTCGAGCACTGGACGCACCCACCACTCGCCGAGGGTGCTGTTTGGTCCAACCTGGGAGCATTAGCATATTTGACTTTGTTCACGCTAGCTAAGCCCGCAACACGATCCATATTTTCATTCCGTTCACCCCTTCTTGATTACATATCATGCACTAGTTAGTCAATAGAGTCGTCGTCGTCATGCAAATGTGTATCAATGCATTGGCTTCAACCTCTTTCGAGTTTCTTCTAGATGCTGCCTCGGCTGATGGTATTTCTAGCAGCTTCCTCCGCTTCATTTTCTCGTGAGGAGTTTTGGTTCTGCTGCGGACTTGGGTAGTTGTTCATGATAGGGGTAGACTTGATGGTGCTTGTCGGACGTGACGGCATATTCGTCGTCGCGCTACTCGAGCTTTGATCACTCATGCACGCAGCCGAGGATGTTCGATTTCCTCTTGCCGGCCTCACCACCCTGTTTCAGCGCGCATACAACCTTTCTGTGCTTGTGCGTGGTGAAGCTGCGTGTGGACCCGTGGCCATGGCGGTCGCAGAACACTTTGGTGACCTTAGTGGTGGTGAACTTGCTAGGGGTGAAGGAGAGGTGGAGGGCTAAACCGCTTTTGCCCTGACTAATCCGAGTTCAAATAATGCAAACGCCAGCTCTTCTTGCTCTTCTTATAATCGTAGAGCTTCACATCAGTTAGCTCACATATTCAGTGCATCGTGCCGTACCCGCCGAAACAGGTTGCCCTTCTACGAGATGACCTCAACTTGAACTTCTGTCACTGAGCTGCCAGCACATTGGTACAGCAGAACGCGCACTAGCACTCCCACAAATAAAGAAGCGTCATATTTGGTTAAGAATGCAGTAATAATGTAACATCAACGCTTGTAGCGCAACATTTAGGCCTCGTCCAACCCTTATCAGCGAGCTGTTCGTTCATGTAACAGCATAATGGCCACCTCGGCGATGTATATGATACTCTTCAAGCCCTTCCCTCTCTTACGAAGCTGCAGCACAACACACAAACTCATGAGATCCACCATATCCAGCTACACGCTCTCCCACCGGCACTTACTTCATTTTTGATGAATCCCTCGGCCAGCAGGCACGTGACGTGGTCCACGTACTGATGGCTAGGCCCGCCCTGCAGGAGATAGGTGTTGTTGGTGCCGGACTCCGTAGTGCCAAAGAACTCGCAGGTCCTGTCGCTCAGCAGTGAAGCATCGGCCTCGTCCGTCGTGAAGCGCACGCCGCACCTGTTCTCCTTGGGCACCATGTCGCCTAGTCCGAAGCAACTGCCGGCCGCAACGGTGTACAACTCGGGTGACGCGCCGATGATGTAGACGCCCACACCGGCGGCACGGAGCGCGTGCATGGCTGACTTCTGGCTACTGAAGAAGCGCAGGTCCTTGGTGAACGAGCCGTCGACCTGCAGGTCGCCCGCCGACGTATACATGGGGTCCGCGAGGGCCAGGCCGAGCGTCATGGTTTCGGTCTCCGTCATGTCCACTAGCATGGCGCGTGAAGAGATCTTCTGTAAGCAGTCTGAGTGGCCTTGTCGCAGTCCATCGTCTCGGGCCGAAAAGCAGAAGTGCAGGTACACGATGGGTTCCTTGATGACATCCAGCGGGCGTTTGACTACTGCGTTGCGGAGCCGTTGCTGATCATCTTGAATGTGGGGCGATGTACGCGTCGTAGAGCACCTTGGGCCTATTTTTGCGAGCCCCGTGGCCAGCGTGGCGCCGGCGCCGTTCACGTCCTGGCCGAGCAACGAGCTGGTGCCGAGCGACGCGTAGATCTAGGGGAGAGATTCCAGCCTGGGACCGGAGAACGCACCGCGCGCGTGCAGGCTAGCATTGTGTGGGAAGCTGATATGAGCAAAAGCTTGCTCTTCCAGAAGTTAAAATGCTTAAGACAATATTTAAGTATTACGATACACAAATGATACACAAAGGTAATACCATCGTTAGTAAATGCCTAAAATTACTAATACCAGTTATTAAGAGTTATTAACTTGGTAAGAAACAACACTAATCTGCACATCCACTCACATATGCATCGCAGGACGCGATCGATTTACGAGTAAAATAGGCAAAAGAAGCGGTTTTCACTAAAAGCTCTTTGCGCATTATTTGATGTAAATTTTATTGTACGTTTTGTTGCACATTGGTGTAGTTTCTATTATCATACACACGCTACTAACCTTACATATTAGTACATTGCAGGTAGAAAGTTGTGATTGGCACCGTTATCTACTATGCATTTGATGGTAGGGTCTCCACATATTTTTTTGTGTTGCTAACACTAGTGTGTGTAAATTACTTGTTAGTGACGTTAATCCAAAACGTACAGTTAGACTTGTTGTAATCGTTCAAAATGAAGATCTTTACAAACAAACGTCTGATGTTGAGGTTTAATTTGTTTGTAACATTCACAGTTAAGCTCTCTTTTTTTAGTAGGCTGAACTTGACGCCACTATCTCTTTCGATGCGAATTACCTGCTGGTGTGTTGAGGACGGCGCTCGCCTTTTCGTTGAGATAGATTGTTTTTAATTCGTTCATAGGGATGCTCTGCGTGCCTAAACTTACCTGGGACGGCATGTTCTCCCTCTCTACATGAACAAATACCGACCGGACACTTGGAAACTGTGGCGGCGTCTACACCAACAAATAGCTGCCGGACACTTGGAAACTGTGGCGACGTCGTGGTGCGTATGTGGGATGGTGCAATCAAACCACTGTTAACGAGGAACATTATTCAGAGAGTGTTAATATGCAGGACGAATCACCAATACATTTATGGATAAAAGTATGAAATGGGATTAGTTGTTGGCATCGGCAACTGTGCTCGAGTCTTGCTGTATCCTAACCTTCCGGCATCCTAAGCTCAGTTGTGGTCATGTTCCTTCATATCTCAATCCTATTACTACTCACCACTAAAAATGTCTAACTGATACGCGCGGGGCATATTTGTATGGCAGCGTAGTCGTTAAACTGATCTGTGTGCACTAACTATATCATGGTTTAATTATATATTAGATGCACTACACGTTTGTAGGCCTATTGTACTCTCCATGGATGCTATTCGTCGGCCATGCTGGGGCTATGCTCCATGTACCTGACGCACGTTATTACACTTTGTGCATACTGTTATGCTGTGTAAGAATGTGGATCATTTTTGTGGCAAATGATCCTCTGTACGTTGTGTCATTGATCAGGATACCCGGTTTATGTATCTGCTTCGTGCTACTGCTTTGGGTGAGCACATCGTTAGGATGTGCCTCACGTCTTCGTAAATCTTAGAAGCGACAGGTGCGGATGAATACGGCAATTTCTAATGCTACCGTAGGAACGTGCAGAGCTCCAGTAAAGGCGACAGGGCTTTTGCAACGTCGCGTCAGCAACTTCGGCACTTAATTTCCATCTGGTACGCGGGGGAGGAGTTTTGACTCCTGGGTTGCTTCATTTAGAATTTTGCGCTGTTCCTTGAAGGTAGATAGAAGACTGTGTGCTATAATGCGGCAAGGAGGCTAACGTTCTGCTTTGTACTCTCCGCTCTATCTGCTCCAGTCACCAGTCTCCAGTTCCCTACCACTTCCTTTCTCCCCCGCACCTCGACCCCCTTCCCCGTCCCGCCCATTCCTCTGCCTTACAGCTTCTGTAACAGAGCGACGTTCGCTTCAGAATGAGCACTCCCGGTACGTTAAAGCGTTATGCTTCATTTGGTCCGTATTCAATTCTCATATTAAATATGTACTTGTAAATGTTAGGCTTCAGCCGTGGAGAGAAGCGGCGTAAGTGTAAATGTTCATGTTTGGGTCACGTGTATGGTTTATTTACAATGTATAACTGAATATTAGACCGCCTCGAGGATGTCAATGCAAATGAAGAGGACGCCAGAGATGAAGGATCCAAGGCTGGTTTTGGTGGCGGCGTGGACATGCCTACCCGTCAAGCACCAGGTAGACAGTTCAATTTGTTTTAGTACGTAGTATTATCTAACTGGATTTGTGCTGCTTGTCGTACTAACTCCCTACAGTAATTTCCCGGGAAATTCCTTCCGTGCTGGGAAAAGAATTTGTATCTTGGGAAAAACTAGAAGAATTTTGGGGCGAGTACGAAAAACGAATTTGGTGTGCTATCGAGTTCATGACTCGAACTCGTGCGACAAATGGAATGCCAAGTTCAAGGCCAGGACAGTGCCACCGCAATTCAAACTCGCGTTTCGGAAATACATGTGCACACTGGGATGTAAGCAGCCCTCGCGTGGAACAGGGAAGCGAACGACACGTACGTCGAGATATCGTGAGTGCAAAGGCTTTTTTAGGGCAGAGGTTTGTCGTTCCACCCTTCACGAAGACACAAACTCTACCGCGGGGCCTCCATGGGTTGTGAAAATCACAGCTGAGGTGCGTGTCTTGCCTTGCAACATTGTATGTGATATCATACTTCCTCCACTCACGTTTCGTCATGCCTTTTTTTTTACAGTTCTCCTGTCATAACCACAACCTCACCGAGGCCTTGTTCGTAGCTCTTAAAAAGAGCAAAGAGATTCTCTCAGACGAAATGCTGGAACAGCTCGACGCATTTGTCGAAACCAACACTGACACGAAGCAGATAACAGATTATCTCTCGAGAAAAACAGGTGCGCTCGATATTAATACGGGAGATGAGGCATTGAAAAATATTTGAATTAAGGGACTCATCTGTTCGTATAATACCAGGGTTTCCCTTCGCGCCACAGCAGATTCGAAACCTGATTAACAGCAGACTGGGATCCGCAACCACAGAGGATCGCCTTAAAACTATGATTGCTGAATTTGTGCAACACGAAGGCAACCAATGTCTTCTTATACAAGATGACTGGGATCTCACGGTAGGTATTGTCGTTCAGAGCGCCGCTCAGAGAGAGATTTTTGCTCGATGGGGAGATACACTCGTTCTAGACTGGACGCACAACACTAACAACGCAGGCTTTTATTTAGGTACGGATCATCAATTTATACTACTGACGTGTTGAGACTCACATCTTTTGTTTCTAACTTTGATAGAGGGAGTCTCATAGTGACGGTGCCAAGTGACCGGGGGATATCTGTGCTGGATTTCCTGTGCGTCAATCAGCAGAAGGAAACATTGCAGGAAGTATTCAAGTACTTCAAGAAGACAAACGATTCCTGGGTGTCAATTGAGTCACTTGTGATTGATAAAGACTTCACCGAGATGGCCGCTTTGCAAGCGGAATTCCCAGCAGCTTCGGTATTTTTATGCCAATTTCACGCTTTGCGCTACATTCGCCGGATACTTGGTAGTCGAGGGTACTTTGTGCCCTTGAAACTACGTGATGAAGTCGAAGAGCTATTCCGCTCACTGATGTATGCATCCTCACCCGAACGGTACAAAGCTCGTTTGGCAGTTTTCGAAAAACGTGTCTCGGAGATAAGTCCCTCTTTCCTGGCGTACTTTCGCCGATGCTGGGATAAGTGCAGCGAGCGCTGGAGTAACTATGGCCTTCGGCAACGATTTACTGCTGGCAACACCACGACCAATCGGATTGAGTCTAGTTGGGGGCAGATTAAACAGCTTCTCCGAAAAAAGTCAGCATGGACAAGTGTTTGAAAGTTATCTTTCAGCATCAGGCATTGGTCTTGCGCGAATTCTTAAACTCAATTGGAGGATACGACTTGAGAAATCCTGGAGTGACTAACTCAATTGGGCATCTCACGCAACTCAGCCAAGTCCTCAGCCCATATTGTTTCCAGCGTGTAAAACTCCAATGGGACTACAGTGTGGTCTACGGCGACACGTGGGAATCGATGCACTCATCGCACGAAGGCGGAGATATATTCAAGTTGGTAACAGAGAGTGGCCAAGGAATCGAAGTTGATTGGAAAACTGGGTCAGAGCCACGTTGTGATTGTCTGTTCAATGTGTCGACAAAGCTACCATGTCAGCATATTTTTGGTATCACTAGTGTGGCGATGATCCTCCCTGAATTCGGGAACACGCTGCTGCCAAAACGTTGGTCGATGCCAGATGCGTCGTCTCTGATGGTATCGCTACAGGTGACCCTCAAAAGTTTGACTCTAGTTCGTGATATTCGCGGTTGTACAGCTAAAGATCCAGGATTGAGTCTTAATGTTGGTGCGGTACGACGGTGTATTGGATATGTGAAGCTGAAACGGGGGGGAGAAGTGTGAACAAGCCGTTCTCTCTGACTACGAAAAATACAATATTGTTCAAGCAGAGTTTTTCCCACTGCTGACCGCCATGCAACAATTGCCCTCCCATCGTTTTTACGAGCGCTTCGCGGATCTAAGAACAATTCTCAGTGATTTTACGAAGAAATGGGAAATGAATCTGAACGAGCCCATAAATGACGATGATACCGACTTCGAATCAGAGCCCAGCGATATTGTAAGCCTGGATCGTGATATTTTCAGTTGCGAAGATAATGACCTACCACCTGTGCGTTCTGAATGGGATTTAACCCCGTTAGAAGTCGAGCTTCGGGACGACGACTTGCCTATACCTGGGATTTGCCCTGAAAGTAGACCTGCAGTCGATTCTATCGAAGACGAAATGATAGAGCCAACCCAAGTCGAGTATGAGCAAGCAAACCGTTCTGATAGAGACGACCCCCCGCAGGTCAATGCTGCAGAACCTGCGACGGCGAAGAGATACAACCTATCCACGAAGAGGATTCGCGGTAGTAGCGATCAAGCGTGCGGAGTCGACACTCTTGCTTTACCCAAATCTGCTGAGCATTCTGCGAATGCGCTGTCACGCTGCGTAGGCGAAAGCAGTGTCAGTCACGGAATTATCGACGTTTCCTGCGATTGCCCAATCAGCCTTGAATATGTTTTGTTCTGGGCGCAGACATATCCCGACATGACCCGAGTTCATGAGATTATTAATCGGCTTCCTGTGCGTCTCAACGAAAAATTTATTGAGAAACGAGTCCCCCAGGTGCAGAGCACAGTCGCAATTCCTGGCATGGATACAGAAAAACTGGTCCAGCTACTCTTCTAGTGAATGGTGTGTGTCAGCTGATACTTCGGGGTCTGTGAAGAACACGGCGAGTGAGGTATCTAGAATCGTTGCCGAATCGTGGCTAAGTCGGAAGTTTAGGTTCGCACCTGGAATGGGTGGTGAATTTGATCTCCGTGAAGTCATCGGCTTTCTCGCTGGTACAGCAAGGCTCAACGATGTTGTGATGTACTGTGCTTTGCAAAAATTCTGCGCAAAAATCGCGAAGTGTTTTGCGGTCGACCCGGTAAATGTGCGCAACAAAGATTTCAAACTGCCCAACCAACCTCTGTCGAGATACAGAAATATCGTTCTTCCAATCTATCAGACCTCGATTAAGCATTGGATTCTCGAAATTGTGGAGCTGTATCCAGTGGTGAGCATGTTCAAATCCCACCACGACATGTCAGAGTGTTGCTGTACGATCCACTAGGAACACAAGTCAACCTTGGTCTGCTAGAAGACACCTGGGATCAATATGGACTGCCTCTCCTGCAAAGCTGAGTCACCAGAGATTGTATGCGCTCAAAAAGCGCCGATGTAGCTGAAAATCACGAGTTCGGTGCTGCATCGTTGTGCAACTTGGCAGACAACAACAAAAGTCCAGCGTCAACCTACTCACCAACAGTGGTTGAAGTACCCAGTCCAGAGCGATGCGGCTAGCTGCGGTGTATTCTGTCTTGCTCAAGCATGCAGTTTTCTAAATGGCGGGAAACTCCTACAAGGCAAGCGCATTTTGAGTGCTAAAGACGTAGAAGTGATGAGGCTACTCATTATGTGGGAGATTTTCTGCAATTGCGACGACGTTCAACAAGCTGGGGATGACCCTAGACTCTGGAGTAGGCTGGGAGATATCAACAAACGCATCAGCGCGTACTATTCAGCTACAACTCGAACTGAAGCGATGGTTTGATAGGATACGAACACTAGAGCAAGAACTCTAAGCATGAAATACACGAATTCATCTTCACTTGACAACACAATTATTTTTTAACATAACATGCCTGACCTAGATAATACGTCCTTGCGGCGTTGAAGATGATGTACGTGAAGTGCCGAGACTTGATTTGCGTAGAAATGTTTGACTGAGCCAGTGTCAGAAAATTGCTGAATCACTCTCATCGCTGGCGCCGTTGCTTGACGTTGCTCGACCTGCCGTTGCTTGGCGTTGCTTATCCTACATATACTACAACCGCGACGTACCTGAAGTTGCTAGGCCATTTATCATCCAGTGGTTCATCCTGAAGTTGCTGAAGCTGCTAGGCCTGACGTTGCTGAAGTTGCTAGTCTTGCCGTTGCTTTAACGAGAGCCCCCACCCCCCAAAAATTTAGAATCTGAGTGGGAACTTACGATGGTACCCCACCCTCTATTAGCGCCCCACCCCCTAAATTTTATCCAAACATTTGAGTTTTTAGGTACAATTTTAAATACTAGGGCTCCGCGAAGGCTGGGATAGGAGAATTTTGGTATAAATCCCTTCTTTTTATTTTTTAATTATTTTTTTCTTATTAGCTACGGTCATCTCCTGCGCCTCCCGGAAATTTGCCAGTTCAAACTGTCTACCGGCAATGCTTTTATTAAACCTTGATTGATATCTGTTTAGAGCTTGTAGAAAAATCCAAATGCTTACCTTTAGTCTTAACTTCATTTCGTTCATACGTACCCAGACATATACTGATTCATACCAGTGTTGTTGGTAGTGTACCGGTTCGATCTGTCCACGCCCAGTGCTGGACCGGGGTCATACCAGTGTGATGAGCAGGGTTTGGTAGTAGTCTCCAGAATAGTAGCGTTAGTAGGCATATTATGACTACTACTACTATTACTACTACTATAGCTCTGGGATTGGAGCCATTAATAGTACTGTTTATATAGTAGCCAAACGAAACATGGATAGTAGTGCTATTAGACACCTTTTGCTCACGTATTTTACGGATTCTGCTGCCTCCCTGAGTTTCGTAAATTGTAAAATTGCCAACGACACTTTTTGCCCTCGTATATTCAGTTAGGTACGAATATCAATCTTCGACAGGGAATCGGCGTGGCTAAGTACCACGCGGGCTTTCCAGCTCTAGTTGATGGCCCCTGGCGCTAGGATCAAGATTTTGCACTATAGCTGGAGTCGTCCGAGGTGGCGAGAGGAAGTCGGGTTGGTGCTGCTCTCGTCCTGAGTGTTCCCAGCGTTTTCCCGCAAAACCTCAAAACCGTAAAAATAAAAACCTTCAGTATTTACTCCGGGAAGCCTCGAACTACGTGTTCATCGGACAGATGAAGAAGCTCTCGTGGATCCAGCGTTGACACTGGGTCCAGGACCAGCTCCATACACCCGAAATGGGTCTTTCGTCACGCGTTCTAAGAAAGGTGAGGGTCTTGAACTCCATCGTCTATACACAAGAGCAAACACTAGCGTTTCCGCCTTGTTTGCGGTTGATTTTAGCTAAGCTTAACGTGTTCGTAGAGTCAGACGATTTTCATCCGTTCATCATGCAGCCACTCGGAAATGTAAAAGCTGGCTGGCACCAGGACCAAATCTGCTCTCCTTGAAAAATATTTTTCCAGCTATGCCTTACGGCGTACTTGAAAGATCGATTAGACAGCCGGTACCGCGTGCAGTTTCCTTGAAGGACTTTTGGTGTTAACGTAGACTTACTTCTTAGAGCAGCAAACAACGGACGCGTTTGCAATATATACATATCGTTGGTGTATTGTCAAAAGCTCGAACATGTTTGCAGAGTACACTATTCTGCAGCATGTACGTCATGCGTGTGTACTACTCATGCAAGATTCACAAGCGGACCAGCTTTATTGCGCTTGACGAACACCCATCCAGCACAAGGTCACGTTCTGCACCAAGTGCGTTGAGGGATGCGATTAAATGGGATGCCCCGAAGCCTGTTCAGAGCCAAGCTGTTGGTTATGAGGCCTTCAACGAGTTTTTGACCGCCTTGCGGTCAGATATGGAACTATATAATAACTGTGGCGGTAGAAAAAATATGTTTAGCCCAACTGACCGGAAAGATCTTGCCTTTAACGACGGCTGCAACACGTCAATTTTCATCTTCTATGATCAAGAACAAGTGAGCATAATACCCCTCGTTCGGCTTCACCTCGATACAAGCACAGCGGCGCTGCCGAGGTCGTGCGGTTGATGCGCATGCCGTCTATTTGTACAACTCGTAAAATTACTATTGAAACTCGATAAATTAACTTATATACTGTTTCCATAAAACATTATATCTCAAAGGTATATCATGATAAGCAGTATGTCGTTTTGTAATTTTACCGAATGACTTTCCCGTATTTTGTGCGGAAACGTGTGCTCGAAAACGCGTAAATTACGTGGGCAAAAGGTGTCTATTATCACTACTAATGTACCCATTTCTCAATCGACGGCAGATCGCACGAGTGAGTGGCCACGCACCAGTCAGGATCCCTCATTAGGCTTCCAACTTCACGCAAACGTGCCATGAAGTGATTGCCACCAAAGTGCCATATCGGAGACTGTTCCGTGCTGTGTATGCGGCCGACAGGTGCATCATTTGTGCAACAACGTGCTGTGTGACAAATGCAAGCTAACGTTATCTCAAAGGTAACGCTGCTGTTGGTGGTTGCCTTTGTTGCTTCAATTGTACTAAGCAGCTCGCCATACTGATTTTGTGGCCGCACACGTGTTACCAGGGACTTTAATGCGGAGATACCGACTCCCAGGAGCCTACACTCAACTGTACATCTGAGAATCGTCCTTACTCTCAAGTATTCTCCTGACTTCTGAGTTAGAGTAACATGCTTCAACTTTCGAGTACATTAGTTCTTTTGGAGTTAGTTTGCTGTATAAACTAGAAGCTAGATACATCAACGTAAGGTGCTGGCTGTTGCACTGTCACAAGCGAAGTGAATAGCATATTGCAAGCAGTCTGGGGTGGTGTTTGAGTAGTCTTTGGCTTGACGACGCTTAACTTTCCTATTAACCTCTTCTCGTCAGTACATGTATGCCGATGATCTCCTCCTCATGTATACTTGCGCTGTACCTTCCTCCTTATTTTTCTAGGTTGCCATACTGGGCATGACATCTTTCCAAAGAAACCAGAAGCCATTTGCGAAGTTACTCAGAAGTCATCACTTTACTCTAAATCAAGTACCTCACTCTATCGCTTGTGATCGAGCAATGCCAATATTCAGGCAAGGTAGAGTGCAATAACGGAGATCGTGTACGCAATATAAAGGTTTGGAGGGTTGAGCAGCTTTGAGGAAGCATTTACGTGTGCTGTTGGTTCGCGGAGGATCGCGAAAACTTACTCGTTGCTCGTCGCCAAGCGCGTCTAAACCGGGTCTTTCGTGAGGGATCCTCTTAGGATGACAACGGACAGCGCGCACCTGAAGTTGTAGTTCCTACTTCGCATATGGATGAATATCATCAAACGGCCGACAGCATACACTAAAAACTTGATTTTTGTACGGTCCTGTGAGCCAAAAGAAACACAGCTGAAACCTTTTAACGAATCATACAGTGTTCCATCGAAATTTTAGCCAATTAAAACACAATAGGGGTAGGGTAACGGCTACCGACACGTGGCCGACGCATAATGTCGGCAGCGACAGCCAGACATTTGAGCGCCGATTCAAAAAGCTAGTCATTCACATATTTGCTGGATATCAAGAAGCCAACCGACACTAGACTTGAAAACAATGAGCCTGCAATACCTCGCTCCAGAGAACACGAAGCGTGCGCAAGCAACAGCAGTCAACGTCTTCACGGCTTTCCTCGCCTCCGATAATGTCACTCTCGAATTTATCCGCGCTACCCTCTTGGCAGATACCAGTGGTTCGGTGCTCGTGAAGTTGCTGGACCGCTTCGCGATGCACGTCGCGTTTGCTCGAGGCCGAAGCGGGGATCTACGCAAGCGGAGCACCGTGATGAGCTACTACCGGAACGTCAAGAACTGGCTGCTGGAGGATTTCCCCCAGCACCGCCACATTGTGGAGCAGCGGCTACTCAAGATGGGTCGCATTTTGGAGCGGCACTGTCTCAAACGGCAGCAAGGTGATATGTTGACGAAAGCGCCAGCATGCACAAAGGCCGACTTGCGCTCTCTGATCGACGGACTGTACTTCGATGCGAGTTCTGCCAAGGAGTATCAGGATGCTGCGCTTCTATCCATCATGTGGTACGCGCTTGGACGCGCTTCCGATCTCGCGTTTATCCAGAAGCGCAACCTGTCGGTCGGCTCGGGCAACGTGCTATTCCTTCGCCTGATCCGAGCGAAAACGTCGGAGGAGCAAGGCCTCTCTCTCTTCCCAGACAAGAGCTCCTTCATCACGTGTCCGCTCCACGCCATCGCCATGGCACTGGCGATGCAAACATTCCCGGTATCGTCTGTACTCGACCTTGAGCACCTTTCGGGGCTGAACGTTGGAGATGAAGCGCCTGCAACGGAGGCTACGCCACTTACCGATGCGCTTGTCCACTGTAGCGATGATGATGAACCTGCTAATGCAACACCGGAAGCCACCTCTCCGAGACGTAAGTCTACCCCGCTGAAAATGCAAGGGTACGTCAATCGAGTGCTCAAGGCCGCAAGCGCACGTCAAGCTCATGCTGGTGTTTCAACTGGCCTCTCGTCTCATTCTTTCCGGCGGTGCGGTGCGCAGCATGCCAACGCGGATGCTTCGCTAAGTCCTCAATGGATCTTCGATCGTGGCAGTTGGAATATGACGGCGATGAACAAGGCCTTTGCCTACGTTTTCAACACCACGAATGAGGACAGGAAAGTATCGAAAGTGCTCAGCGACTGGAAGTCAAACGACAACCCGACCATACCTTCGGCTGCCACATTCGACTCTGCAACGACGACGAAGATTCGCAGGCTTGGTCGCATGTTGTTTGCGTCCAGCTTGGATCTTGGGGACGCTTCATTGATCGTCGATGATCAAGTCGCAGACCCGCTAGTGGCATCATTGATCCAGCACTTCCCTGAGGTCAACGAGAGGTACCCGATGAGCCCATACACTTCGCGGATGCGCATGTGTCTGTTCCCTCTTCAAGTGTCGATGCCGGAGCTGCTAGGCTGGAGTGTGGAGCTGAAACGACAAGCAAGTGAAGTTCGAGAAGAAGAAGAAAAACCCTTCACACGTGAGCTTCAGTTGATCAACCATCTCAATGCAGTCATAGCCCAACTCGTGGAAGCGAACAAGGCGCAGTCTGAGCGCATTGCAGAGTTGGAAAAACGGGTGCCGGTTGGCGGTGCAGTTGCTTCCCAGGCCGGCTCAACTCCAGACACGATCACTGACCTACCGACCTGTCATTGGCCTTGGACACCCCGATGAAGCCAACCAAGCTCAAGGTCCGCGCAGCCTCGAAGACTGCAGCCGCAACTTGGTTAGAGTGGCACACGAAAACCCCTCGCATCTGGGAAGTCTGTGACGATCGCCATTACAAGTCTCAGTCAAAGCAGATTGTCGCCTTCATGAAGCTATTCCTACCTCTGGGATTCAGCCTTGACTCCACCATTGGAGAGTACGCGGACCGTGTCATGCAAGCTGGCAACACAGCTCAGAAGAATATGCATGAGTTTCTTCAAGCGCGAGGTATCAAGCGCAAGTTCGGCTCGGGCCTACTGAAACAACTTCGCGCACTTCATCGAGATAGAGCTCTAGACGAGCTCATTACCCGGTACCGAGCAAGTTTGGCTCTTGGCCAGATCGCCGACCCTGCTCCTGAAACGACAAAGGAGTGTTTTTAGAAGCACTTTGGGATTTTGGAGAAATCATGCGACTTTACAGTTTGATGGTTTTTAACCTATTAAAGGCATGAGCTTAAATAAGAGCAAATACACTTCCCATAGTTCGTTACACATTCAAACCACTGTGGCATACCTTCACCATTTTGCAATCGCCAACACGAAGCCGATGGTTCACCTCAGCCCGAAGACATTCAAGCGCGCTGTTAGAGCATTTATTAGGCGTGAGTTCCCCCTCGCGTATGTTACAGATGAAGCTTTACGCTACCTTCGCCACGAGCTGCGTGACCAGGTTACCGAGGCTCCAAGCCCAAGGGGACCGTTGTTTGACGTGCTCTCGCTGTTGCAACAGCAGACTGGTCGTAGAATCGAAGGCCACCACGTTCTGGCATGGCGCTCTTCGCGGCGCCCCAGCCTCCGACAGCTTCCCAGTACCGGCGCGAATGCATCCCATGCAGCTGCCCACGAGTCGACGCAGGCGTGCGAGGCTGACGGCAATCTCGCGCCAGTCAACACTCCGTTAGGAGCTGAGGAGAATGGGGGCGCCGTTGCCACTATCGCCGCCTCCACCGCTTGGACCAGCACCGTCGAGAACCCCGCCAGCATTGCCGCTGAAGCCATACTCATCAGCACAGCTGTTGAAGCCACACCCGCCCTCGCTACTGCTGCGAAGCTTGCCGCTGATGATGTTGCCGAAGAGAAGCACGCTGCCGCTGTTCCTGCTGCCGAAGAGAAGCTTTCCGCCGCCGCTGTTCCTGCTGCCGAAGAGAAGCTCTCCGTCGCCGCTGTTCCTGCTGCCGAAGAGAAGCTCTCCGTCGCCGCAATCGCCGTCGCCGAGGGAAAGGTGACCACCGCCGCCTCCAGTGCTGACGCTGCACAACCGCTCGCTGATTCTGGTGACGACTCCAGCGACGACGACGTGGTCTGGATCCCAGCTCCAAGCGGTCTACCTGTCACAACTGACACCGGTAGCGTGCTCAATGCCGACGATGGGCGCGACGACAGCGAGGCGAGCGAGACCGAATGGGTCCCGACGGAAAATCTGGCCGCTCCTCGTTCCACAGCTCCGCAGCTCTACAACATCCGCGCAATCACAAACTCATACATGAGAAACGGTAAGAGAGTTTACCTTGTTGAGTGGGAGCAGACCGAAGAGCCTGCCACGAATCTGCCTCGGAACATGGTTGCCGCATACAACCGACGCCGCAGAGCTCTTGTCCGTCGAACCTTCATTGAAGACAAAGCTGGCCACGGCCGTGGACGACTTCGAAACTCGGAACCTGCACCAGAGCGCCGCCGTCGCCGACCACTTCGACGACTTCGCAGAGCTCTTCACTTCTAGATAACACAGGCACAAGACAATAGTTCGAAGGGTTCAAGCGCATATATTACCACTACCCAAGTACAACGAGGCTAAGCTGCTTTCGCGGCACACCAAGTTTTGGGTAGTCTTCACCTCGCAAAACAGCTAGGCTACGCCATCGAATAGCACACCAAGCTTAACAGCCGCATCACAGCCTACATTAATGCATACACACTAACACCAATACCAACAAACGTCAGGCACGTGAGCCCAATACCACCAAGCTCCCCCAGTGCTTACCTCATCGTCTTGCCGATATCCTTGGTCCTTAGTCCATGCTGGAGCTGCCTGCCTGCCGCGCGCCTTTGTTGAGCTGCTGCTGCCACGGGGGACCCGCCTCCCCCCACGCGCGGACGCCCCTTGCTCGCTGGCGCCGCTCCCGCTGTCTGTCTGCGTGCTGGTTGAGATGTGTTATCTCTGTGGCCTGTCCTTAGCGACATGTCGTCCTCGGATTCTTTAATCCAATGATAATTTTATTAATATTAACAAATCAGTGTCAGTGCTAGTGAAGGTTTTAGCCAATAAGATTGATGTCGGCCGTGTCGGCCGCTGTCGGCACCGTCACGCTATGGAGGCCAGTAAGCACGATTGCGGTCGGAATTCAGAATGATGGTCAAATAGTCATAATTAGTAGTCATATTAGTAGTCATATTAGTACCACCGATGCCTCTCTACTAATAGATATAGCATTCTACTATTGCCATAATTTGGATAGTAGTAGTAGTATGACTACTAGCCAATATTTCCACTACTACCAAACCCACTGCCCACGCATATAAAGGGGGCCCCGTGCGGCACCGGATTCATACCGGTTTCAATAAAATGTACCAGTTAGATGTCAAGAGGGGCTATCGTTTGACTTGATGTACCACGGATATAATCATATTTGGTCTGCGAAAGCAGCACTAACGTTGCTTCCTATTCCAGTAATATCCATAAATTTTAACCCTTTCGCGAACACAGTGATTTTGTATACTATACAAACTCAATATACTTACAGATGAAAGGAGGCGTTTGGCTACATTCGACCGTGTAGCCATTGACGACCCTTCGTGGGTACACAAATGGAAGGAAGCAAAATGCCTCCATCGAGGGAGTCAAATAACACGCTCTCATTGGCCAAAAAAGAATATTTTAAGCGGGTTGTCTCGCTGAAGGGTCACCGCCCTCATGCGATTGGCTGGAGGGACAGCGAAACCGGCACGAACTTCAATAGGGGGGGGTCGAACCTGGCAAAAACGGTGCTTACTTTTTGGGAGTTGCTCTGCTTACTTTTTGGGAAATTTTCCGCTCATTTCTAAGTTCAAGTTCGACGTTGCGAAAGCATACTTAGCCCCCGACACCTTCTGGTCTCGGATCGGGGTGCTGCGATCTCGCCTAGGTGAAGCATAGCTCTCGTCCGCGACGCCATAGCCGCAGGCGGCCGCGGGCATGAACATGCAAGGACTGTCCGTAGTTGTGTGCGCATTAGGTGTCGACTCGTAGACAGTGAGGCGCTCTCCAAGCTGTCTGCGAGGGCATGAAAGCTAGCTATACGAGACTCGCAGCATGAGTGTTGCGTATGTTCTGCTGTCGCGTGCTTACTTCGCTAGGCTTTCCCTAGCGGCCGCCAACACCACCTCCGAGAATACCATCGAGGGCGCGCACACTACTGCGGGTGTTTGCGCTGTGGATACTGCTCTAGCGCACCCGAGCCGTAGCCCTTCCTGCTTCGCCCTCTCGGCTTCGCCACCTACGCCGGGAAGGGGGCCATCGTATCTCTCTAAGTGCGATCTCACATTTATTGAGCAATTTCTGACTACCCCCGTATCGCTCAGTTTTTGCTTATCTTTTGGTCATTTTCTTGCTCAGATATTGGGAATCCCTTGGCTTACTTTTTGGGAGGGATTTTCCATACATAGCACTATCGCACAAGGAAGTAATCTACTTGAAAGTCCGAGTACTTACTCGTTACTTACTTCATACGGCTGGTCCTACAAATGATCGCTATCATGCGTGCACGCCACTTAAGCCGCCTTCATAATAATTATCGACAAGGCGCCTACCATGATGGACATGCTAGTACAACTCGCCGTTACTTGTGAAGTTATTGACTAAGATAATCGTAGGTCACCGTGTACGACGAGCTGTTACGACTCACCGGCACTCGTGACGTCAGTAATCAACATAATCAGCATTCGGTAAACATACTATATATGCAAATATAACAAAAATGTTAAATTTACGGTTGGACTCTTTACGATTGATCTTTACCGCGCAAACTCGTTATCCAGTTTATGTTTTTGCCATGATAGACTGTTCTGGGTCATGGCATGTATAGACAGACAATGAACCTTTGTTAGCAGTAAAGGGTCAACCAAAATTTGATGACACTGTTTATCGTATCCGCGCGTCTATTATGTATCTCGGTCGTAGTTTTAGCCAGCTATAAGTTAGTGTAAATCTAAATGACATGTAGAGTACCAAGACAAATATCAACAGTCGTTTTGTCAACGTTTTATTGTTAAGTTTTCGCGCGCAGTATCTAAACCAAACTAAATAATTTTCTGTTTACCACATATGGTATTTTTATTTATTAGCGCAGATAGATCCTCATAAATAATGCAAGGATCTTGCCATTTGTATCTGCATAAATTATGTAATGTATTCGAGCAATAAATAAATAATGTGGTGCAACTTCAACGGGTGTTAGGAACCCGCTGTCGTACTTTTGTCGGACTTTTTGCTTTACAATTCTGACTTGCTGGTGCTCACTTTTTTCGCTCATTTGGTAAGTTCGAGACCCCCTGTTTACACGTTGGGAGCAGGCTTTACCACGCTTAAGTAACGGATTTTTTACGAACAGAAGACCCTCTACTATTAGTAGACCTCCCACTATTTATCATGATTCTAAAAATACAAGACCGTTTTGAATAAAATTCTTAGAGCAGCAATGACATTCCGGGTCTACTTGAGCCTCAAATGATCTAATGTTAGTTATGATGCTGTGTAGTAATTGCCGGATGGACATTTCTGGCGCAGCGGGGGGGGGGGCTGGAGATGCAGCGTGCCCGGTACTGTTTCTCACTCTAATTGACGCGATCGACTGTCGAAACGTCCCAGAAGTCAGCATTCTCGCGCAGAAACAAAGTTGTTTCCAGCGTAGCGGGCTGGAGACTGTTGCGTTCTTGAGCAAACGTGGTACGCGCCACGCTGAAAAACCGCTCGACCTTGTTCGAGGTCGGCGGATGCTGGAGATGAGGTCGTAGCGGGGCTTTCGGGCCTCGAGCCGGCGACGCTTCTCGAGACACTGGACAAACGAACCCTCTGGCTCCTCGCCGCCGTCTTCCGCACCGTTCGTGAGATAGTATCATAAATTATGAGTATGGAATAGTAATATGGTATCATAAATAATGGTACGGTCTAAGCCGCTGCTCATAAATTATGCAATAAATTTATGGCAATTACTTGAGCGTCAATTTAATTTTCGGCTGCCATGCGCACATACAATCATCATCTTGGTGTTGCATACGTAAACTGGCATGTACTCGAATGCTCCAACTATATATGTGCTGTTGTGGAAGGAAAGTCCGACAAAGCAACGCATTGATAAGGCACCAAGTGCTCCCTGAGTGGGCTCGCATGAACAAGATTGAATTCATTGTTGCCGTTTTAAATATCCCATTCAAAACACGGAGGGGTGAGTTTCTTGAAAGGTCTGATTACTATGTAAGTTGAGTCTCTGGAGAGTCTAATTAGCGGAATCGCAGGTACAGAAAACGCGTTGGTAAATAATGGCAGACCTGCCGTATCTCTGGCAGAACTGAGCGACACGATGCGTTTTTTTCTTCCTGGTTTTCTAAGCCACCGCATCGATATGACTCCGAATAATCTGCCAGTGACTGTCAAAGTGACTTGGAAGTGGCCTAGATTTCCCATTGAATACAATGGTAGCAACATGTAGAAGTGGCGACTATGACTCCCATCAAAGTTATATGAGCGTTGATAAAGGCACTGAGTGGGAACCAAATAACCGGTCCATCGAGGTACATGGATACAGAACCTGCAGGCACTCGTCTGGCTCTAGGTGCCAAATGGCACTGAGTCAGGTAGTATTCGTACCGAGGTTAGAAAAGAGGGGTATTCTATTCAAATAGATTTCATAAATTTCACCAAATGTAGAGATTTTGTTGTGTGGTTCTGAATGCTTCAAGAGCTCTATGTTACACGAATGTTGCAGGAAATAGGAAGTGGTGGCAACGGTCGTTCGCATGTAAAAAGCACTTAGCGAATCTCGTATTGACCAAGAAAACAGTATGGTCACCTTGCCGCCTGCTAGTACGGGAGTTGTTGAGGACTAGGTCGCGCCAATCGGGGGTAGAGTTGCGCTATATTTGTGCTGTTGAAAGTCGCCGCTACGGATGGTCTCTCGAGTTGTTGTATATGTTGTGGGCGCATCCGGCTACGCTGTGTATTTATATGCGCAATTTGATATATCGGTAATTAATGGCACGTTCGAAACAAACAAGTACGATCTACTCTTTGTAAATATCATATCCATAACGGTTCTGAACACAGTATTACCGGTAACACAGTGCTTCCTTCCTGGTTAGAAGGATGTTCATCTCAAAACATTCCATGCTATAAGCTTGAAGAGATTTAATTCCCCCTTCTGCACGTCATACTGGTGGACCACACATTGGCATGTTTGAATGCTCTACTGATGTTTTTCTCCTCTGTTCTGACAATGATTTGTCGCTGGCATTTCAACAAGAATGGGTTAGCAATGCACCTTGTTGTTTCTTCTTTAGCATGATAGATGTTGTTTGAGCCCTTCGTGCTACTTACGGTCTTTGGAAGGATATAATGGACTTCGTTGCCGGGGTGAAACAAAATCGAGCGTGCTCTGGAACTTTTCGAACTGTTCACGGGAGGCCATGAGCTCACGAAATCAATATTCCTTCAATTTGGAGTTGCTAGTGTATTGTGGGATCATTGTTTAAAATAGTACTGGAATCTTCGCAGTCAAGCATAACATTGGCAGGAGTTATAGGGAGGTTGTTTATCGTCCGTCATCGATGAACAGCGTGGGCCGAGCCGGACAAGGACAGCAGCGTTGCTAACGGTAGCATCAAATGCGGATTCACGTAAAGATCACGAGCATGTCCCCAACTTCTGTTGACACGCTGCGATATTTACATTTTTTCCCACAATATTCTCTCGAGCGAACCGCGAATGACGTGCAGCTCGATCCTGGTTCTCTTCTTTAGCTCCGAGGACCCGCCTCCACGGAGGTGATATTTCCGTAACTTCACCCACAAATAGATTTCAACGAATAAATGACATCTTTGGACATCGTCCATCCACGGAGTGGGAATTCCTGTAATTGTACCGAGATTTTTTGGTCAATCAGCGGCTCAAGCGTCTTCGCCTTGTCCCTGGTGGCCAGAGAGAAGCCGCTTGGTGTGAGCTCAAACCTCGACATACTGGCTAAGCTGACTAGCCAAGACATCTGGGAAGCTCATCGCGAAGGTCCCGCATCTCCGCGGCCTTCGATTTCCGGGATCGGCCGCGCGTGTCGTTCGCCAGCACCTCGCACGGGCCCAGACCAAGGCCGTCGACTTCGAAGCGGAGCTGCTCGTGGCGCTGACTACCCTGCGCAAGCCGACGCAGTAGCAGGCCGACCGAGTCGCGCTTGATGCGGCGGGTTTCGCCGTGTCGCAGCCTCGCCACAGGCACATGACTGAGATCGGAAATACGTTCAAGGAGAAGGGTGTGTGTGTGTGTGGCGCGGGTGAAAGTGCTCTCGACAGACGGGAGGGTGTTTTACCTTTAGGTCCTAAATAGAGGTTGCTGACCGTCGATTCAGCTCCCGCTTTATGATCGCCCACACGTTCCCAATTGGGTTGAGATCGGGGCTCTGGGCGGGGTGACGAAGGTCGTGGAGCCCCAAAGACTTCACGAACTTCGCCGTGGCCTTAGCGCGATGCTGTAATGGGCCTACTTTGGCTCACTACTTTAGCTTACACGTGTGCGCGTGTATGTGAGGAAGCGTAGCTTAGTTTAAATTAGAGTTAATTATACTCGGGCCTCCCAGTATAGATTAATCTAAATAAACGATCCAAATATTTTTTTGGGTTAAAATGAGAACTGCTATTTTTGTTTTATGTTTCTGACTTCCTCTAAATGTAATATTCTAAGATAGGAACCTGCCAACGGCTGGTTGGCAGAATTCCAATGCTATGCATGTCGCTCATTGGCTAAGAGATGCTGCTCTCAGCCAATAGGAATCCTAAGTCTCTATGGACCACCCGTCGTGGTGGTCGTAAATGTATGTAGCCTTTGGTGTGTCTACACCAAGGTCGAGAAAGTCTTTCGAACCTCTAACAGACGTCGTATCTGTTAGAGTTACAAGTGACTGTAGCCACTTGTGCGTGTAACCCTGTTACAGATGCACTGGAGCGTTGTCTACGTTGGGGCAGACCAGGGAGCTGGTGGGTGATCGGGATCTCCTGTTGAAGCAGGTGTCGGTAGTAGGCGCCGTCCACGGACTTCTCGCAGAAGTGCATCGTGCCGACGACGTCCGCACACCATCAACGACTTGCGGCTGGACTTGAAGGTCGGCACGACGCACTTCTCATAGAAGGCTTCGTGTGTCCGGCGCCACACCGACACACGACCGCTGGTATCGTGCAGCTCCACCGGTGCCTCGTCTGTAAAGAGGACATTCGCCCAGTCGTCCTTCTCCAGATGAGCCAGCCTCTTTGTATAGACGAGACACTGCTTGCGGTGTTTCTTGGAGAGGTAAGGTTTCTTCCTAGCAGAGCGGCCGTCAAGGCCGACTGCGTTGAGGCGGTTGCGCACCACCTGCGGTGACACCACGCGCCCAGCGTCCTTGGAAACCACAGCAACCAGGACCGCCGTGTGAAAAGGCTCGGTGGATTTCGCCACCGAACCCATGTCCAGCTGACCCGTATCAATCCAGGATGCTGACCCGTATCAATCAAGCAGACTTCAAGTGCGTCATGGCCGCGATGGATCTGGACCACCAACTGTCGGACACGAGCCGTAAGCTGAGCCCGAGGTCTGGGCGGAGCTCCGCTCAGACTCTGGGCTTGAGCGAAGATTGTCTGAGACCCGAAGTGTCTGGTGTTGGGTATCCCAAGGCTGAGCTGAGTCCAGGAAGCTGAGAGGAGCTACGCGGAGTCTGAGCTGAGCCTCGAGTGTGATGACCGGAGTCCCCGCTCGGGTCGAGGAGCTGAGTGGAGCCGGGTGGAGTTTGAGCTCAACCTCCCCAGTGGTTGTGGGGCCGTCGTCCAAGATGCCGAGATGAGGCGTCCGAGCGAGGTCGTGCCGAGCCCGAGCCCAGCTTTTACTGTGATCATGGAGCCTTCACCCAAGTCGACAAGCTGGGCGAGGATCGAAGGTCTGAGCGGAGTGACGTGGAGTCCGAGCCCGGCGTCGAATGCGATGTTTGAAGTCTTTGCTCAAGTCGAGAAGCCGAGCGGAGTGTTACAGACCTGAGTGGAGTGGCATGGGCCTGAGCGGAGTTGTCGGAGTCCAGTTGAAGTGCCGGGTGGAGAGTCGCTGAACTTAAGTCCAGACAGTGGTACTGATGGCGAAGTTGGTGGCACCGGCGAGTACACTCATCCGGTGAATCAGCCATGAGCCAGCCTACATTGGGTGCGACCGCCCAAGATCGCGGACACTTCAAGCGGATCTCAACGGCCTCCAGCGGCTCCAAGACGACGCCCGCCGACGTAGAGCCGCCGCATTGGCCAAGACCAAGGATATCGGGCGGATCTTCAAGGGCACCCGGTAAGCATACAGCCGACGCTCTTCGCGCAGCCAGTCAGTGTGTACCCAGGGGGATATTGCTCCCCCACTTAGTGAGTCCTAGTTTGTGCATGTGTAAACATTTAAACAGAGTTCGTTTTGCCCCGAAGGACGCACGTGGTGGAGGTCTTTGGCCAGAAGGTGTCTTGGCGATCATCCACACAAATTCAAGCTAACATATCAACGTTGTCAGAGTGCTTCGGTGCGACGGTAGTACGGTTATTTCATATTACTGTTACATCTTAGGGTGTATTTCATATTTTGGGTGGAAGGTGATCCATTCTGAGGTTTAGGCAGGGTAATTGTATTGTGTGCTTGGGGACATTGGCGTGCCCCGGTGCATTGTGTGATTATTAGTATCGGTTCATTGTGGACATGGTGCGCGGGTAGTCCCAGGGCGTGTGTGAGTGCCTTGGATTTGGACTAGACTCAAACCGAGTCACTAACTCCAGACCGGGTCGTTGCTTGACTCGAAGAGAAGAAAGGAGAAGCTGGTACGAGCCTCGCCCAAGCTCAGAGAAATAAAAGCGAACTCGGCCCAGACCCAGGCCGACCGGGAAAGAAGGGGTGTTGTGGTTCTGAGCCGGAACCAAAGAGAGGAAGTGGAGGCTATATTGTGTGTGGTGTTGTGTTCATTAAGGAAAACCCGGGGCATTTCGGGCTGTGGACACGTGCGGACTGGGACTCGCCAAGTGGGGAGCGAGTTTCGTCTGGGAACAGCTCCGGAGACCTTCAACATCGACAGCAGCTGGTGTGGCCGACGCAGGTCTGGGCCCACAGCGTAGCCGTGATCAAAAGAACCGCCAAGGGGATCGCAGAGTGAGGAACACACGCCTCGCCCGACCCGAGTCGGAGATGAGCCAAGCGTTTAAGCGGCTAAGCCAAGCGAAGTGGAGTGGGAGTGTTCGCTCAGTGGAAGGAGCTGAGCGGAACTCTTGCAGCGCTAAGCAGGGGTGAGCTAAGTGGTGCAAGGGCTGAGCGAAGACCAAGGTCGAGCGGTCTAGCAACCTGAGCCTGCAAAAAGCACGGGCGCTTCGTCACAGCCGCGCTGGAAAACCGATTGGCCTCAGTGTAGTAGAGAATGATGCGGTCATCGCGGGCAGTAGTGAGCCGGGGGCAGCCTTGGCGCGGAGCTACGACACAGTAGCCATTCAACTTGAAGTGCGCGATATTATCGCGCACTATGGAGCGAGCCATCTCCGGCTCTCTCGCGATTGTAGAGTAGCTGTAGCCCTTCTTCGACTTGCTAACGCAGAAACAACGAATATCGTACGTCGTTGGTCCATAGTTGAGCTTGACTTGTTGGAAGTGATGAGAATAGGAGAGTGAGAGCAGCTAGTGCGGCAACGTTCACTGCGTTGTCGCCAAAATGCATGGGTTCTTTCGAGCAACATTCGTGCAATAATATGAACCTCCATACAAATTTTAATATAATTGGAAAGAGGCCAGCCACTGGGCGCTCACTATATTTACACCTTGTTTTGAATAAACGTTGATGGCGGAACACTTCCCGCGAACCGATGTTATCGGCGAATGTTTTGCTCTTCGGGTTCGCTGGCGGTTCTAACCGTACCCGCAGCACTGCGATCCGATTACGGATTGTCTAGCTATTGCGCAGAATCGATGTTGAAGTTACCTGGGCGGCGACGTTCTGGAGCCGCTGTACAAAGTTAGCAAACCTTAATGATTCTACTACTTTCTTGTGCTTTGGGGTCTTTCCTATTATACAATTAATTACATCAGATCAGTTCTTACTCTGTATTTCTTACTAGACTTACGATTTCATAATCTTAGCACATTGGCGATTATTCAAGATTATATGGATCTATTTTTACGATTTATGGGCGATGCAATCTGGTAATGATAACGCTCGACAATCTACTTCAAGTCCGACCATGTGAGTTGACTACATCGCTATGGAACTGTAATGCTCTACTATCTTTATGGTCGCTATCTTCTAATCACAACACAGGCCCTTACACAGATGAAGCCCTCGTGATGCATGTTTTGCTACAGTGTGTCGGAATCTAGGTCAATATAATACGATAGATGCGCATCGTTTGTGTGGTACTGGGCTACATCCTGAATGGTGAAGTGTTCTTTTTGTGTGAACTGTTCGTTTTGACAATTTAGGTGCACGTGACGGGCGAACTGTGTGTAGTCTCCGGCTTGTGAGAGTGGTCTACCCGCTCTGTTGTGTGGTAGTACACCGCCCTCGCGTGATTCGGAAATCGGCGGGTTAGCTGACGAGCAATCCGCGATTTGACAGGATGATTTGGCCACTATTCGGAGGTGACGGAAAATGCCATTGCTAGCCAATAGCAATGTGTTACGTATAATATATGCCTGACATCAACTCCCGTACGCTGAGTATAATTATACTCAGTCCCAAATCGATTTTTCGGAGATGGCTTGCTTCAGATTACGATAGAGAAAACGAAACGGACGCAATGTAGGGGTGGTGGTTTCCTGGGCATACTGCAATCCTCCATATTCGCAGGCATGAGCTCCGAGCCATCTACACCCTCGAGCGAGCCAGCTGCACCCTCGAGCGCAAAGAAGGCAGTTCGATGAAACTGCCTTCTTTGCGCACGACATCGACGATGTCGTGCTGCTGCGAGCTGTGAACACGTTTCAACCATGGCGAGCTCCTGCGGGGACAGCTAACGGAGTCTTGAAGGTCGTTGAAGATATCGCGGTGCACTGTGGCGCAGACCCAGACTTTGGAGTCGACAAATCCGGTTTGGCCCTCAGGACCCGCTCTTCGACTTTAGTGATGAACTGTAAGCGCGATCAGTGTCGATCAATGCGTAAGTCGGGTACTGTTGAGCAGTATCAAGAGCGTGACAGGCTTCTACTCGACATACTCACTCAAACCAAAGACTGGGAGGAAAAAGTGGCCGCTGAAAATAGAATTAAGGACGCCAAGCAGCAAGCAATAGAGAGCTCCGGTGCACTGATGCGGCGTCTCGCGATGAATGAGTCCATCGAGGATTCCGACGGGGGCGATGATGACACCGGCGGAAATGCCACCGATGGGGCAAATACAGCAGGGTCAACCGCTCAAGCAGTCCAGAAGCGGCCTGGAAGCGCGCAAAAAGGGAAAGTCACCAAGCGAGAGCGACTGGCTGCCGTTATGGAGGCCCTGATCAAACGTTTGCAGACTGCTGGTGACGAGGATAGCGGCAAGTATGCATACAAAGCCCAGCGTCTGGCTTTTGAAGAAGATCAAGCCAACAAGCAGCGCCAGCACGAAGCAGGCGAAGCCGAACGCCGCTGACGCCACCGTCAGCACGAGATTGACCTTGAAAATCGCCGTTTGAAAGCAGACGAAGAGAGATAGAAGCGAATGTTTGATTTTATTCAAGCTGTCCTAAGAAACCACAAGTCGAAGGAGTAGAGTAAATGCGCTATACTCTACGAGTCAGTTGCATTTAGGTATGCATCGAGGGTTGGAGGAGCTAACCAAAAACAAACATGGAGATCTGATTGCCTAGTGGCTGCAAACAATTGTGGCAGATTTTCAACATGACACCCACAAAATGAGATTGCCAACAACAGGCGATTTCTTTTTGTCCTAATTTAGAATTTCCCCACAGTGTTTTCACTCGACCAAAGCCCCACTCCACGCTTTCTCTGACGCTACTCATGTCACGGTTTGAAGGCGGCCGCTGCGTTCGATGTGTCAATAGACGGGCAGCAAATATACCTGCTGCAGCCGTGGGCAGGATCACCGTACATTAGTTTCCCGCGAAATATTCCGCTTTGATCCTTTTCCATGAGGTCGAGCACTCCGCTGAGGTTAAGCATGGTTAAATCGTAGCGCCTACCTTCTAGCGAGCCGAACAAATTCACGATAATCCCGTCGGGGGCTTGGAGACTTTGCCAATTAAAACAGTGTCTGCGTGGATGGCCATTGCACACTGAGCGCTGTAAGTTTTCGTACTCGGAAGCAGGCTGAGAACGAGCACTAGGTCTTGCCTCATATTGTTTTATGCCATCAATAAATGACCAACAAGTTCTTAGTGGCGACCCCGTTTCATGGACAGCGGTGGCGTACTGGTTGATCCTCGAGCAAACAAGCTTGAACTTGAAATAGACCAATTCACGATGTTGACTAACACTAAGCTGCGCAGTAGCTTTGACGACTCAACTGTACGGCCACGTTCCACGGCCGAATTCGTCAGCAACCGTATGCAGCTTTCATGCCTCATAAAGTCGGTGACACAGCATAGCTAACGCCTCGACACGGTTAACGCGGTCTCCGGATGGAGTCGTCACTCCTTGTGCAGGAAGCCTCAGCTTTGATGCAAGAGTTCTTAGCTGGGCTATTGTGAATCGATAGCGGACCTTGGCCGTCGCATCGTCCAGCACGACCTCGAACGATTGACTTCTATTCACAGGAGGCGCCGCATCAAGCAACCAAAGGCAGTTCTGCTCTTGCAGTAGCCTCCGAAACCGGTTTCTCTTAGAAATCACCCAAACAGAGGCAGCGACCACTAGAGCTTGCTCTGCTGTCATCTTGGGAGCAACGAACACCATCTTCTCTCTGCAGGACGAATCTGAATGCCAAAGTCGCTTAAGATAGACGGCCGCTGTCATAAACCTATCCAAGTTTGAGTTAAGATTGGCGCCCTAAACACAGCCTATCTGCAAGTGAAGCTGAATCGTGGTCAATTTGGCCACTCCGAAAGTTCTCTTTTATGCCCATTTATAGAACATAAGAGAAGATAGTTCCCCATAAACAGGTGATATTTAGGCACCAAAATTTGCTTTAGAGTTGTTGCACTGCTCAGCGGAAGATAAGGGTTGAGAGCGAGGTATCAGCTGTTTCGAAGATTTTGTTTTGGATCAACCGCGGCACAGGCCAACTTTTGGATCAACATTTTAAGCGACGAATAAGGCTAATTCCTGACATATTATATAACTCGTAGGTCGAGTTTGATCCAAAAGTCGATCCTTCTCGTAGTGTTGTTGCCTTCATAAATTTATGTTATATTTTCAAAAAATATATTTTTTACTAAACACCATTTTGCGTAAATGCCGCGCCGCTCCAAGACCTGCCCCAAGTGCAAGAAGCGTTTCGCCACTCATGGCAACATGAAGCGCCACCAGAAGAAGGTGTTTGCGTGCGGCAAGCAGTTTGTTAAGCAACGCGAGGAGCTAGCCAAACAAAAGAAAGTCTACCGTAACCGCTACGACTATCTCAAGCGCCTCTGCCGTCTGCACGAGTATCAAGCCCCCCTCCCACCATTCGACGGCCCTCCGCCAGCCCAGACGCCGCCTCCACGACGGTCGACGCGTCGCGCGACCACGGCCGTCGAATCGTCGGGTACTGTCCCGTCAATTATCGAACCCATCATTGCCCATGTTCACTACTACATGGACGGGCGCGCAGGTAACGATTTCTATGATTAAAAATGTAGATTTATAACCTGGCAGAATTAGAAAATCGTTTCTAATCACAATAAAGACATTTCCCCCTAACATTTTCAACTAAACAGATGCTGAACTGAGCCAGTGACGTGCTGAGATTTGCCAAAACATGTCTGAATCTTATCCATTCGTGTCTTAATCGCAAATTTGATGCTGACAAACAACTCCATACTCAATTACAATCATGGAAAGTGTCATAGATATCGAAGTAAACAAATGTATTGTAAATTAAAGGCAAATTTCCATTTAAGATATGCAGGGAGGGTTTGTCCTGTGCATGTACTGTGGGCAAGTGACAAGCGTTAGTACTCCGCGGACATCGACGCCTCAGAAACCGTGTCACTAACTTCGCTTGGACTGTCTTCGGCCGTCTCCACTGCGCTCGAAGTTAGTCTGGGCCGGACTCGACGAGGTGTGCGCACCCTACGGTTGGCCACATCCGACAACGCGTCGACGTACCGTTGAGCCTCTGCCTCCAACACAACGATAAATTTCCGATGTCCGGGTGAGGATCCCCCATCGCGCGGTTCACCGTTCGATTATAGCGTTCCAACGGATTATTAGTCCGATTTACGATGTCCTCTTGCACGCCGAACACGTTCCAGTCTTCCGGCTTGTACTTTTAAATCCAGATGCGGACGAAATATTTCCAGAACTTGGCCCATGCTTCAGTAGAGAACGCGATGCCTTGGTCTTGACATTCCTCCCGAATAGTGCACTGCACATTGCGAATTCCAGAGCGCACACTTTCAAATTGGTGGATTGTAGTCAGCTCATCCATTGCCCCTTCTTCCATTGCAATGTTGACTTCGCGTTCAGTGATTCCGAGTTTGCGCATCTTTCGGCGTAGGGCTTGCTTGAAGTGAAAAAGACAGCCGATGACTTTGGCCCGGGGAAACTGATGTTTGACAGCGTTCATCCGAGCTTGTTCAAAGTCGCACGCGATGAACGCAGGGTCCATTGCAAAGTTGCAACACGCGTTGGTGTGATACAGGACGTAGTCGTACACCTTGGTGGGGTTCCCCGTAGTCAGCGCGTAGCAGCTTGGAATGCACAGTTTCGCGATTGCGTCGTACACCATCACGACTACCAGCTGGTAAACGTTCACTGGAACACAGTGGTATGTCCAGGGCTTTGCATTAACCACCTTTTGAGCTGTACCAGTACAGGTAATACGGATGAATGGTGTGCATTATTATCGTAGCATACTGCACAGAAATAGACAGTGTGTATAGTAATACAGTACTACAGTAGTAGATACAGCAGCAGTCTAATGAGCTCCCAAAGATTTACTAGGATAAACTATAGTATCCACATAAGTGCGATTCACAGCTAGTAAGTACGAATTGAGAACTGATTGATCTCGGAATCAATTCGGCGGAGTTGGAAGTAGATGGGTGCTGCTTTGTAGTTTGCTGTTATATTGTTGCGTAGTATACTGTAGAGTCGTGTGCATTTCGTAGAGAACCTAAATAATAATGAATGAAAGTATAGGATGGAGCGCGTTTCGGTGGTTCGATATCTCGGTCATCCATGCCACAGGAGTGTGGTGAAGCGGTGGGAGAAATCTGCCAAAGTGGCCGGACCCATCAATCTGGATCAAATGAGATCTCTCGTGAGAATGACGTCGATCTCAGAAGAGTGACCCGCCAAATATGATAGAGATCGACATTGATCGATATTGACAGGAATGGCGTCGATCTCGGTGAAGAGTTATGATCTCCGCCCCATGGATTACGCGGACCCCAGATACAGAGCCAGCGTCACCACCAATGTTCAAGGGAGCCAGATAGCACGCGCTAGGACCATATGAGAGCAAGAGAACGATAGGACAGAGGCCTTAGGCAAAGCTAACATTTAAACAGAGTTGATTTTACCTCCTTCTTCACAAGTGGTCTTCGCCTTCGTAATACCGGGCACAGGATATACTTTGGTCCACCCGACGCTACGCAAGTCGACTAAAACCCCAAGATCAAGGAACCTCGAACGCCAGGATAGCTTGGCCCAGCGTCCGTCAACCCTCACTGCGACCCACCGCTAGAGGAAGCGGCAAGCAAGCAAGGAAATGAAAGGAAGGTCACACACCGACCACAAGGCAACCCCACACCTGGCCGGCGAGTGTCGATCTAGACAACCCCAGATCGAAACCGCCACAACTACTCCGGCACAGCGTGAAGCATATCCGCGTTGCTGCCACAAGTTCCCGCTGTCCACCAGACAGTCCAAGACTCAACCCCAAGCACGTCTTCTCGAGGTCACCCGAAGAGCGATCCAGCCCACCGACGGGTACACAAGGTGAGGATCAGCAACTTCACGGAAGATCGGAGTACCCCCTCCGTTAGTCGGCAGTTCGGGCGCCGTGTGCAAGAGGACCCCCGCGATCTGCAAATTTCGCGGATCCACTTCGCCACAGTAAAGATGAGAACTGTTATTTGTGATTTATGGTTTGACTTCCCCTAAATGTAATATTCTAAACTAGATATCTGCCAACGGCTGGTTGGCAGGATTCCGCTAACATGCAAGTCGCTCATTGGCTAAAAGATGCTGCTTTCAGCCAATATGAATCCTAAATGTATATGAACCACCCGTCGTGGTGGTCCCAAAAGTACGTAGCCATTGGTGTACCTTACACCAAGGTCGAGAAAGTCTTTCGAACCCTCTAACAGACGTCGTGTCTGTTAGAGTTACAAGTGGTTGTAGCCACTTGTGTGTGTAACCCCGTTACAAGTTTCAATGTATACAGATCATTGGCCCTCTTTGTACTCAGAAAATTACATAGGGTTTCGAGGTTGTTCTATGAGTATGTGAGGATGTCTGAGGTGCCAACGGATCTTGCTTATCACTTCGGCACACTATCTTGAAGCTCAAAAAGGTCCATTTCACATTAGCAAGCGAAATCGACTGTTAGCAAATGGTATCGAGGAAATAGACCGCCGTTTTCAGCGAGGAAACAGTTCAAGCCAACTGGAGGTTGCAGATGTTCGTCCCGGCATGACAGGAATCCAACACCGCAAACGTTCATTAAGAGGCTGTGCGGTCGCCTACAACAGTACTGGGTCACAAATATTTCTGAATTTCTTCCCCGGCGACCCACAGCAGCAAATCCACATTTGGTTTTTAAACAGCAAAAATGTTGATGCTGACGAGGAAGAATTACCGATATTTATGCTGACCGCTTTGCAGGATGGTACGAAACTCGCGAGTTACTGATGAAAACTCGCTGACCTCTTACAGAAGACGAAAAGGGTATCTTGCTTGCGCAAGAGGATATGGTTATTTGCCGCGGTGATCTCGCTCAATGTGGCGAATTCTCCTCTTTTTAAACTGTGTCAGCATTCGCATGCACTGCTATTTAGATGGCGACCTTCCTGATGCGAGTTACCAATATATCATGGCACCAGGTTGGTCGATTCTGCATGCACCATGCAGTGCATGTTTGGTGCTGATTTCCGATTTAAATGCGACCAGCGTGAGCATGAACGAGTTGTCGTGTTTGCAAGAAAAAAAAGATTCTGAGAACGCATCGTCGCAGTCGCGACGTTAGGTGTAGAGGTCTACATGAATTTGAGCTTATAATTTCTGGACTGTTCGCACTTTTGGTAATAGAAAAATCATTTACTTAACCGCTCATTCATTAAAGCTGTGTCTAGTATAACTAATTCCGTTCCTGGTCGACTACAAAATTATGGCCCAGAATTCCTTTCATGTTGACTATAGATGATGACCGGCTACGACTATTTGAGGTCAACATCAAGTGATGACCTTCTATAACGATTTCAGACCAAAATCAGATGACACCCCATCCTCACGATTTCGGGTCAAATTCAATGACTATCTTTGTGATTGAAGCCAAAAGCTGACCTAGCATCCATGTTCGGGTCTGTTTTGAATAATGATCATGTATCACTTGCGTTATGGCCATAAAATGCCTAAACCGACTGTCCTGAGCTGATCAAAGCGATGTAAAGACCGGTAGGAATTGGTCGTGACAACGAAGATGACGATACCAAGCTCAAATGCCTGTGCCGCTACAAGTTCAACTTTTGCTGGTTCTAGGGCGCACAAACGGTACTTCGTTCGATAGCGCATTCATAAATCGGTTATGCGTGGATTTGGGCGATGTGCGATTCCAGCCTTTTTTGTTATGAGGGATGCCGTTAAAGTACAATTTAATGCTTGTGCGGCTGAACTTCCGCACCCGCAGCTTTAATGGGCTGGTTTCATGTAACAAAGATAGTAAAGTAACATACACTGCTGAATAAACGTCAGTGTTGCTGACACCTGCAAAGTCTTCTGATACATGCACTACGCGACATAATCGTCTTTCCCTGTGGTTCAATCTCGCGTTCCAAGTTGCTAGAGGCGTCTAGCGCGTCACATGCCGGTGCGTCAACCGACCGACATCGCCAAACACTGCATAAATTCGCGCGGATTCTACCGTTGGCAGGCGTTTTGCCCTCCAAGCGATTAGTCAGCTACTAACCATCCAATGGAACAGTACAACTTAACATAAATGACTATAGTCCTGATGGTCCTTCTATTCCACGCGAAATGTTCAAAATTACGGACAAAGCGCGTTGCGGTTTTGAGCAAAAACGTACCGTTTAGTGCTTTTTTTGTGGCTTCATATCGTTTTGACGGAGTTACATCGCTTCATGTACAGTTGGGGTTGCTTGGGGGCCACAGGTATTCCTCCTGTACCGAATGTTTCTGCAGATCGTACAGCGCACTGTGAGGTTTTAACCATTTGAAAAGAAGATGCTCAGAGATTCCATCCAACGTAAACCGGGGTAAATTGTACACACTCGGCGTAGGGCGTACATAAAACTTAAAACATTGTATGTGTTACCATGTTGTGTGTGTTTCCGTGCAAGGCGGTGTGTATTGACCAGGGGTCAGTAATGTGACACATCACATTGCTAGGCCTAATGCTGTTTGTCGGCAAGATATTGCGGATTCTGATAAGTAGCACGACTTACTACAGTTCAGACATCCTTCTCTATTCGAATACTGGTTATACCGATAGGCTCAGGTTTTAGGAAGAGCTTGGGTTGATCGTCCCCATACTCCATAAAAATAAATGCTGAACAAACGTCTGCCTTTTGAAGTATTCGTCAGACCAATTTAAATCTAAAACGATTTGGGAGCCAACTAGTAGGATTTAAATCATATTATTAAGCTAATTGGAAGCCAAATATATTAAAACCCCACTCATTAACGTTAAAACGCTTTGATTCTACCTAAAACTGCATTTTTGTCAAGATTTGGACAATCCTCGATCAGATCGGTAGAATAATAAATCTAAGGCAGAAACGATTTTTGTATGACTGGTCTCAAGGGAGCGATGAGATAACAAGCTTAATTTGCCAACAGAGCAGCCTATCGATACAAGGCACAATATTATTTGCTAACAGAGCAGCACAACATTATAGCCGTGATCGAACATGTTTCGCCGTACTCCTCATTTGATTACTGTTATCGATGCAATAAAGACTAATTGTCGAAATACAACTAATACTTGATCTCATGTAGTTAACCTCCCAAGTTTGGCCTATTGTTTGGCACGGACATCCCTCAAGGCCGTCCTCATCCTCCGAATTCAACATTCCGAGCCGTAGATCTATACTTGCTCAACATACATTGACTCTAGAGTTGAACCACCAAGCACACTTGCTGTACAATTCAAATTACACCTATATAAACCCCATTTGCGGTAGTGCAAGTTGCTCGAAATGCTGTTTGAGTGGATGTGTTTTAGGTGTGTGTGTGCCCCTACTTTTTCGGTATGGGTGTGTGTGCTGTGTATTGCCCCAACTATGTATTGTATGGAGTTACCAGGGGGTCATCATAACTGCTTCCAAACTAAAAAGGGCATGTCATAGAAATTTTGAGTCAGATCACTGACCCGGTGGGGCTGGAATCCTCGAGCAACCAGCGTACCCACATACGGATTTATTGGGG